AGAACCAACTGTAGTGAAGGGGAAAAACAACTTCTACTTACTATAAACACCTCTGTTTTAAGTGTTTTAAAATATTAGTCGAATTACGTTCTAAATAATTGAAGGCCAAGCAAAGAAAAGCTTTTAACCATTACTCCGCATTTGTGTGCTTCCTGAATACTGACATATCTGAACAAAGTTTGGTGCATGTGTCTACGTTGAAGACACAGTTCTAATTTTCACATCTGAGCAATCTGTTGAGCTCACAGCACGCACGCCACACAAAGTGGAGGAAGAGGCCAAACCACTCCACTGGTTTCTCCCTCAAACACTGCAAGCACACAGTGGAATCTGCTGCAAGCGGTTACAAGAGCAGGTGTGGTGGTTTAGAGTGCTGGACTTGGACGATCTGGGTTCTAGTTGCCATGAAGGGTAACTCTGGGCCAGCCATGGCCTCCCAGCCTAGTCTGCCTCACAGGGTTCTTGTTGGGAGGATAAAAATGGAATGGTGGAGAACTAGGTAAGTCACCTTGTGCTGCTCAGAAGAGGGGGAAAGGCAAGATATAAATTCAATGTAAAAATAATACAATAAGGTTCTCAGTTTGCACTTCTACCTGGCCACCACACTTGCTTTCTGAGGAGATCAAGAATGACGTAAAAATCCACAATACGCTCCGCATCCAAATTCATCCTTGGCTTACTCTGAATGAGCTATAGGCTAGCGCACACAGCCTGTTCACTTCTACTTGGCTCCTCCTGCTCCTCTTAAGCAGAATCTGAAGCAGAAATACAAAGCTTGCATTGACATCCAAAACCTGGATCTTTTTGAAGCCAAGACCATAGAACTAGGCTTTTTTTTGGGGGGGGGGGTATTAATCCTGGCTTGTAAGAAGTGCAACAAACCAGAATCCTATGTTTGGACGTCATGGCATATTTCCATTTACAGTAAATTTAGCCCCTTGCACTAGTGGGGGGAAACAAATGGCAGCAAATAAGCTGCAGGCATCAGCTTTTTTATATTGTTATTTATTTTATATTGTTAATTTTATATTGATATTTTTGTATTTTATTTTGTGTTGTGAGCCGCCCCGAGGCTTCGGCAAGGGGCGGCATAGAAATGTTTTAATAAATAAATAAATAAATAAATAAATCATATAGCTGACCCACAGTAAGCCAGGATGCATTTACTGTTCTGGGCAAATGTGGCACTTTAGCCACTTAGCTTCCTTGAAGACTATATGGAAAATTGGTCCATACATTCAGGATGCAATCACTTCACCTGCAGTTCAAATCGACAGCAAAGGCCCTTGCAGCTGTCTTCAAGGAACCCAGGAGAAAGAGAATGGAGCATCCCCCTCGAAAGCAAAGAAATTACATTATGTGTTTCTTCATCATAGGGGAGCAAACATGTGGCCTGCCAGATCCCCCTATCTGCTGCTGTGGTACTTTCTATTCTTCATCTCTAATCTTCAGAAACTGGTGGGTTGGAGGAGGGTGGAAACTACACCTTCTCCTTTTTCTAGAAACTTTGAAACAGGTAGGTGCACGTCTGCGTGCATGTGCGTTGGTCTGCTCACTTACCACTGTTTATGTGCACATGTGGCCTCCAGACCCTCTGGCAAAGCCAGTTTTAGCCCTCCAGCACACTCCTGCTTCATAACATAAAAGGAAAGCACACTGTAGTAAAACATCTGGAGCAGGAGCTCTTTAACACAACAGCTTACTAGAAATTAATTATTACAGCTAACAAAGTATAAAGCAAGTGAAAGCAAAACAAAAGACCGAGGAGAAACAAGAAGTAGATGGACAATTGTTGTAAGCCGCCCCGAGGCTTCGGCGAATGGGGCGGCATAAAAATGTTTTAATAAATAAATAAAAAATAAAAATAATACTGTCCAAAGTCTGGAAGCCATCAACACAAACCTATCACTTCCTTTTGACTAAACATATGCTGTCAGATCGGACACACAGGAAGAGCTGTTCCTAACCCAATCCAAGAGAAGTTGTGTTTTCCATACACAACCAGATCATGGAATCTATTGTAAAGAAGTGTGGTAAGGTACCAAAGTAACTGCAGACCGCATAACCGTGGTCAATTTGACTTAGACAAATTAATGCGCTCAGAACTCAGATGATCTTCAGAAAATGTTGTCACTTTTGCTAATACTAGTTTGTTTTTTGGAGGAGTCCAGGAGAATGGGAGTCTACTGGACAATACTAAACCAAGGGGCTTAGCCATTCTTGCCAGGCTTCCTGTTCAGTGCTCCCTTGTCCTGTCATGGCTTCCAACAACGTGTAACTTAACCTGCCTGCGGGAGAAGAGAGATGCAAATATGGTTTCTGGAGAAATGCCATGCACAGCACTGTTTAATTGCTAAAGACAGGCTTGTGGACAGAGTCTACAGCAAGGAATACCCTGCCCAATGAAAGCTCTAAGAACCCCTGCTTCCGGATGGCTTGTTCACTTTCAAAATGTTAACATGAATAACACAAGCAGTTGAGGATTTAAAAGCTATATTCCTACCAGGAAAGCTATCTACACAACAGAAACAGCCTTCCCAAGAGTTTAGCCCACCAACTAGAAACTAAGAAGCAAATATACAAAGATCTCCCTCCAAAGATGATGAAAGCCACCTGCATTTAATGTGGATATCTGACCTTTCTCTTCCTCTTTTAATTGGCACATATTTTTGGAACCACTTCACTAACTTTAATGATCTAGAGAAAATGAGAATGAATTTCACCATTAATCTTCCTTGGCTTTAAGCAGACTTCATAATCATATGGAAGCAGTAATATTTAGACATCAATTCTAACAAGCCTGAATCAGTCAAATTTGGGCAAGCAGATACTTATTTCTCAAATACTGAGATCAATGGAGCTAGAAACCCGCAGCTATTGTCCTATATTTATGGATGTATTGGTATATTTGCATACAGAATATATGAGAAAGATATATAAATATTTTTCTCCAAGAGGAAAATAAAATAGATAAAAATAAGTTGGCTTTTTTAATCCCCTCATTCACAGTAGAGAGATCTGGCTCTCCCTTCTCAGAGTTATCCCTTCTCCTGTGGGACCAAACCGCTGATGACTATAGTGTTTTACATTTCCTCTTTAGCAAGGAAACAAAGGGCAGGAAGGGAGAAACAGCACACATCTCAGAGTTCTCAGTGGCTCCTGGACACCACCGTGTGCCCAGAGATCCTCTGACTGGCCGAGAAACCCACTTGAGAGTTGACATCACCCAGAACACACCTTTTAACCAACAGTCCAAGACTCTGCTACCCTGGACAATCCCAGATCACTCTGATGAGGAACTCTGAGTGTTCTGTCTCTCATCTATTGTCCTCTGCTCAGTCCTGGGATCAGGCCATGCTACCCTGGGATTATGGAGTACTGACCAGACTGCATTTTCCCAGTGCGTGTCCCAGATCCAAGATGGCTGTGGGGGTGTTTTCCCCACAGCTTGGGCTACCACTTCCAATTCCCCACATAATCCACAGATGCTACAGGGCTGCAGACTGTTTTTTTATCAAGTGCAGATATTAAACAAGCCTTTCACCCTTGCAATTTAGGTAAGAGGCTGCTTCTCCAGCTACATCTTGGACCCCCTGAAAAGTTGAATGCTTGCGCATATAAAGGCCAATGTAATTCTTTAAGAGAGTAAAGAGAAATAAACATCTCCCTTTCTACACAAAGCATTTAAAACATTTTCCCTTGTAGGATATAACCTTTCCTTACTAGCAAGGTGCACATTCCAACCCCACAAATCTTCCTTGTTTATACAAGTCTCCATCTATTTATTGTATTCCAAAAGCAAAAATGCCAGTAGGACATCTCAGAAGCATGGCAGCATGAGGGCACCTGTTCCCATTCTCTTAGATCAAGGGAATAAAATCCCTGGCTACAAGCCAAGGATCCCTCTGTGCAAGTCCAGTTGCTCTCACAAATGCCCTGAGGTTCTCTGGATGCCAGTGTATACAAACCTTCAGGTGGCATCACAAACTGCTAATGGTGAGGATAGGGTGGGACTGCTCCATTAAATATAAATTTCAGAGGGCCTGGTGAGAAAGTGCGGTGACATGGCAGCTTCAGGAGTCACCAAGCAAACACACCTTGGTTCTTTGCAGCCTACCCACTAACTATACGAGCCCATAAAGATCAAACTTCAGTGCATGCCCTTGAGTTACCCATTCATGGCACTTTCAGCATACTTAAGCCATACAGTTACAGAAAGCACATCCTTTCCATGCAGATGGATCCCACATGCAAGGCATTCTGGGCCCTGTTCCGCTATGATTCTCAACCAATTCTTATATTCTCATTGCATATGCAAAACTAGATACACAAAGGGTTCTTTGAAGTGATGGATGAGCTGACTTAACATTGTTGAAATTAGTAGTAGCACATTCCATCATGTTGCATTCTGGGTTGTTTTCAAAAAGGACTCTTCCTAAGAAAACACACACCACATCGCTATTAGAATTTTTTGTTGCCTAAACTGCAAATTGTAGCTACTGTCTGCTAAGAAATGATGGGCTGGATCCAGAATCTGCCTTCTGTGAGAAAAAGTGTCCTGCTTGCCTGAGGTTCTTCTACCAGATTTTTGGGGTTCCTCCTCCCCTTGCCACACTCAGAACACCTCACCCCATTTTGCAAGCTCTCCTGAATAACTGTGTAGCATTTGCAGAGAATAATATAGCACTCACAGAACAGATATATCATCTATACTGTTCCATGACCAAATATCCCCTCTGCTGAGGGGCTTAGCAAAAGTATATGTCTACAAACTGGACTGCTGGTTTACATTTGCTTCTTGTGCAATATCTGAAGTCCCCAGCTGTCCTCAACACACAGCCTACCTAAGCTCCAATATAAACTGACACTAACCTTTTGCCCTCCTTGTGATATCTGTTCCCCTGATGGAAGAAGCATGTCGATTCCCAATTGCAAAACTATGAACTCACAGACTGCATTACTTCATGCATGCCCCACAAAGATAACGTTGGCCTTCTTACCTGGGAGAAATTCAGACCATTCAATGGATGGCACTGTTCCTCTACTTTTTCCACTGCCCCAGTCTGCTTTCGGAGGCGTTCAGCTTCCTGGGCAAGGTAAAGATCCAAGACGGGAACACCACGTGACTTGATGTCCACCTCAGTCAGAGAGTTCACCATAAGCATGACCCACACCGGCCTTTTTCTCTCCCAGTTGCCTGCAATCGCATTGAAAAGATAGTCTGCATACAGCCCTTTGCCTCGCTGGTCGGGAGTCATCCAGGAAGGCATCATCAGCTTGACATATTCCAAGTGGCGCTTGAGCCTGCGGTAGATGTCCCTAGGGAGCACATCCTGTAGGTTCTCACCCTGTGGCAGGAGCTGGCAGCTGGTCAGAGCAGAAATTGTGTAGGGATCAGTGAGGTCCAGCTCAAAGTAAACAATATGGCTTTGCTGGAAGGCTTTCTTGGAATTGTCGGGAATAAAATCCCAGACTCGTGTATACGGGACATGAATGGTACCAAAGAAATAAGATGGTGGATCTCTCTTTATAGTCCACAGGAAGGAGTTTAGTTCACTTTGCTGAAGGGAAGGAAAGACAGCAGTGAAGATAAGCAGGGATATACATGCTGAGATAACACGAGGAATCAATGGCACTCAAGAGGCAGCAAAAAATGGCCAGATACTAGAAAATCAGAAATTGTTCCCTCCATGACTGGCTATACAAGTTTTAGTGATTGCAGAAATGGAGGAATTAACTTTTAAGGTCAGACAAAGTGTTGGCTACTGGCCTCATGTGAGCTGGAGGTTAAACAGGCTCCTGTTATAATTCATAAGAATGCATTGCATGCACATAATATTTATTTATTTATAATATACATAAGGGAGATGCTCTTTTGAATATCTCAGGATCTTAAAGGGTTTATTCGTATTAAACAGAAGAACAGACTGGTTAGGTGCTAATACAAAGTCCTTCTTTCAGTACTTTTGCAAAATGACCACGTCCACAGCAACCTCCAATAAGAAAAAAAGTATCATACTTCAAACACAATCTATTTTCTTTAAAAAAAAACCAATAAAGCATTATTATCTTTAAAATCTCCTACACAGTTGGAGGCTAGCCTAACCTAAAGATAAAGGCAAAACAATGGGTGTGTGTGTGGGGGGGGGGGACTCTTTTATGTGGTGATAAGATGAATGAAGATAACTGAAAATCCAGAGAGGCAAGAAGTGTCACCTACCCTCTTAAAAGCAAACAAAGAGTTCTGAAAGCCGCCACAGGCATGGAGGGGATTGGAAGGTCAACACTCCTTTGTTTTAAACAAGCCTGATCTTTATGTGACAAAGAGCACACATAAGGATCCAAGTCCATCCAAAAGGCATCTCCAAAAGAAAAGGTATTGGCCCCCCCTGCCCTGCTTAGAATTTCATTAACCTCTCTGTTTTTCACATCTAATGTATTGAAAGCCCCATCATGAGACAAAGACCTGTATTTTATATGAACATCTTAGCCAGGGCATTAGTGGTAGCTGTCAGGCCTCCCTACACTGAACAATTAAGAACTATATTTTGCAGCTAGGCAGAGTGTGGTCAGCTGCACCACAGGGACTGGCTACATACATCTTACAGACAGCCAAAACTGAGAAATTAACAGCTGAGGTAAGCAGAAGTATTTGCTCCTCCCTCATTGGTGAGTTGAGGGAAGGGCTCCTCCCTTCTCCCAACACAGGATGTAAAATGGGACCTGAGAAACAAGTGACAACACTAGGAGAGAAAGTGAGTGTGGTCCCATCCAACCTAATTATTTTAAAGGATGGGCCCAACCTACCTACTTGTGATTTTGGGATATTTCAACCTTTTACAGGTTTTATTTGATGGAAAAGGCAATGACAGGTAAAAACCATACTCATGGTTTGATGTTGCACTAACCATTAGGTTGTTTAGCCCCTAAATAACACATTGGTCCAGGTTCAAATTTCACTTTCAGCACCCTACCTAAGAGGTGATTGTAGGCTTTTGATTAAAAGAGGAAGTGGCAGGCACTTCTCCAGCTTGCCTGTTTTCTTCCCCTCATCCCTAACAGCCTATAATTTATCTAATGCATGGACTATCATTATGTGCAAATAGGTCCAAGGTGTTGGGTGAAGTTTTGAATTGGGAGCCCATTCACTGTATTACAATAGATTGAGAGCACTGACAACAAAAAGCTCTTAGTTAAAAAGAAGAAAAAAAACAACCATTACCAATGGTGAGCCGTATTTCTGAGACATTCTGGGAAAATTTCTCCTCTGCCTGGAGAAATTCAGTTAAAAAGTGGCTCAAATTTTTCTTCCTACAAGTAGGGTGAAGAATTTTGAGAGACAATCTGTGAAGAGTTCCAGTTGCTTTTAAACATGTTAACTGTTGCATTGTTTTTGTAAGCCACTTTGGTTCTAATGAGGTGTATAAATACAGTTGATATATAAAATTAGCACAGGCTGTTGAACAGGTATTTCCCTGGTTGCTTATAGCAATAATCCCTTCCAAGTGACAATCTAAGATATCAAAGATTACTACTCATAATGAGTATTTGCAGAATTAGAGACTGCATGCTTCCCAATTACCAAACTCTGCTGCTGGAAGATAGAATTGAGAACTATAATACCCATTTCCTGCTTATGGACAGGTCCCCATGAAAAGAGAACGCTGGATTAGGTAGGTTTTTGGTCCGATCCAACACAGCTCTTTTCAATAGGTACGAAATAATTGCGAGCAGGAAGAGAACTGGGTTTTCTTCAAAGTGTTTCAGTTGACTGCTGTTCCACCAAACCAGTCAGCTAGTAATGTTTGCCAAGCGTCATGTTCAAACTTCACTAGCTCAGTATTTTTTCCTAGTAAAGTGACTTTAAATGAACCCCACCTTTTCTGCAGTTCAAAGTGGCTTACACATTACTTAAGACTTAGAAAACAGAACCCTGAGAAAACTAAGAATCACCTATGCAAACATATAGTAAATAACAGCTTTCCCACTGTCGCAAACAGTAAGTGATTTTCATACATCACAAAGAAAAAAACCAGATTTTCCAGAGTTATGTTGGACCTCACCTGCCAGAATTCCCAACCACTGGTCATACTTGCTGGGAGTTATGGGGGTTGCAATTCAACACATCTGGAGCGGAAGGGATCATGGAATGCAGTCACAGGATGTATACAACAAGGAGCTTATCTAGTTGTCAGGTGTACTTGGATGCTACATTAAAAACCTGCCGACCACAGTTATACTAATGCTCTCCTGAACATCTGACGTGAAGAGGGCATAGGATTACCTACTTTACTCAGGTACTCTGCCTGAAGGATGAATCTGAAAAAAGTCATTGAGATTTCAAAAGCAAGGCCTACTGAAATGAACAGAACATGCTGCACACAGCTTTTCCTCATGTCAGATGCTTTCTCACAGAGGTTTTGTGTGGATTGTTACGGGGCTCTTTGTCAGCAGAGAAGTGTTCATTCCTATGAGGGGGAAAGGTATTGTGGATGACTCTCTAATAAGATGTATTTTTAAAACATTTAAAATAGATACAAATGTCAACTCAAGTTATTTTAAAAGACAGTCAAAGAATTCACTGTCATTCCTCCCCTTCCAAGAAAGGAGAAAGTAGTGTTTTTAGAACCAAATCAGTAAGCAACTTTCCATTCCAAAAAGAAACACTTCCTATTTGTTAATTGGAATATCCTGCATTGCAGGCAGACTCAAATATTTGAGGAGCAGCAGCCTGTCCTCAGAGAGGGTCTGAATTTGAACATGGCAAATTTGAATGCAACAAAACCTTGCAATCTGCTTTTACTTTCATCTTCCAAAGCCTTCTGAAAACCTTTTAACTGAAAGCACTGGAACAACAACATAGCAAAATTATATACCACTATTACATAGCATATAAAGAAGCTTGGAAACCACAATTTGATGCAAATGTGATGCAAACTTAAAGGATGGGGGTGGCATTGGCTGCTGGGTCCCCATTACTGCCTACCCCACTCCTTTCAGAACAGTGTGTTAAGTAACCACATCATTAGTTCTTTTCACATTATATACTGAGAGCAGGAGGAGGAGAATTATGTAATCCCCATTGAGTTCTTTGCCAATCTAATAAATAAAATATATATTAGATACGGTAAGTTACTGAAGCCATGGTGAAGACAAAATGACACAGGTTCTGTAATCCGAGAACTGGCCTTTGTTAAGTCAGACAACAGGTAGAAATCTAAGATGTGGCCCTGTAGGTCCCAAGTCAATATATACATCCAAGGGCATTACTAGCAAAGTCTGAAAACAGAACATTCTTCCATGTAGCATCCTCAATGTGTGGATACAATGAGCTGATAATGCAAGACAATTAAGACAGGGAGGCAAGCCACAAAGGGGAAAAAAAGGACACCAAAGATGGTAAAAAAGATGGGTTTACTTGGGCTTCTGAGATGCTCTTGATAAAGCCCTCACTCCTGAGCAGACTCATCAGTTATGGAACAAGAGCAGAGGTCCTCTATGGATCAGTAACTGGTTACAGAGAAAGCACGCAGCAGAAATCAATGGTAATGTCTCCCAATGGAGGGATGTAATCAGTGGGGTCCCACAGGGTTCTGAATTAGGATAAATGCTTCCAACTAATTCACAAATGATCTGGAACTGGGAGTTTGCTGATGACACCAAAGCATTTAGAGTGGTTAAAAAAAAGGAGGAATTTTGAGGAATACCAAAGGATCTCTCTGAATGGGAGAATTGGCATCAAAATGTCAAATGCAGTTCTATGTACACAAGTGTAGAGTAAAGCACTTTGGGGCAGAGACTGGCAGTGACTGACCAAGGAAGAAACCTGGGTGTTGTGATGGGCAGCTTGAGGAAAATGTCAATCCAGTGCACCGCTGCTGGGAAAACGCAAACTTATGTTAGGTGGAACTAGGAAAAGAATTGCAAATAAGACTGCCAATATCATACTCCAGGATTGACAAGGTTGGATCTGTGGGGCTTTTGTTTTATTTTTAAGCCTAGAAAGGAAAAGAAAAATGCTTATGTAAAACTGTTTATACCAACTGTGGCAGACTGGGTTGATGATGCACAGACAAACAGGGTTAGGGTCCTGCTCAATGTAACTGGACAAATAATATCCACCGAATGGCCCAATTTCCAGGTCCAATTCAAAGTGCTGGTATTAACATTCAAAGCTCACTAAGATTGGCAGGTGTGATCATACAGTGCCAGTCCTATATTATCTCCATTGGCTGCCAACTGAAGTCTGGGCCCAATTTAAGGTGTTAACTTCAACACAGAAAGCTCTGAACAGTTTAGGGCCCAGATATCTGAAGGAACATCTAATTCCTGGAACACAACCAGATGGATTAGAAGGTAACTTCGTTGTTTAACGAACAGATAATCTGTGAAATTAGTTTTACCAACACATCCATAATCATTATATTGTAACATTTAGTGTCACCACTGAAACGGAGCATAGAAAACAAATACAAATGCTGCATAGGGGAAAAAACAAAACTTTTACAGATCAGCAGTCATTCAACTATATTCTTTGATGATGCTGCTGCTAACACCATCAATGACGCCAGAGCAATGCACATCAACCAAAAACAAAACCAAACCAAACCAAACCAAACCCCAGGTCTCCGTTCAAAGTTGCTTACATTTTGAAAGAGCAGACAAAGGGTAGGCAGAGACAAGGCAGTGCCCAGATTCCAATAGCACTCAGCCACCAACCTCTCTGCTGACAGTCACTCTTCTGCTCAGCCATCACCTACTTTACGAGGTTGCTGTGAGCATTAAACAGAGGAGGTGGTACAGTTCTGAGGAAGGACAGGGTAAAAATGTGATACGGGATAAACAAGCATACACTTCATCAGCATTCCCTCATCTATAGTGTCTTTCAGGTATTTTGGACTACAGCCCCCATAATCCCAGTCAGGGCTCTGCTGGGTGGGACTAGTGATAACTGAAGTCCAGAGCACCTGAAAGGTACCAAGTTGGGGGAAAATGCACTGCATTGACAATACTGCACACTAACCAGGTGGTATTACTATATGCAAGTGAATGAACCTAAGCAGGTAAAGAGCACTTCTCCCCTCATTGCACCTCAGTTACCTAAGAAAAACCACAGGTGGTCACCCATTTCAATGGCCAAGTAATCAAGAGATAACAAGCCACTATTAACACTTTTTCACTTTCCAGCTATCATTCAAGACCTTTGCTCTAAGAAATTGCTCCCCAACATTAAAACTGCTCCCTGTTTCAAAGCCATGGCTGAAGATGCTCTCAATCTGAATATAAGAGCTTTCCACAAACTGTTCCCTACCAATCCTGGGTCCAGTCCCAGCGAACATTATGCTCTAAATCCCTTCCTTTCAGTATCAGTTACATAAATCTGCCCAACTGAAATCAAGTCCTACTACCAAAACATAAATCCATTACATTCATTATTAGTAGGGAAACCTGATTTGCAAACTGTGAAACCTCCACAATAAAACTGCAGCAAGGAAATAAGTATAGTAATGAAAGGACACATTCCAGACTATGTTGGGCCTTTTAAAGTCCCATTCATTGAGTTGGAAAAGGTTGATGCTGGTATTGAACATGTTTTCTTCTGATAATTTATATCCCCTTTGAAGTTCTGGCTTCTATGATAAAATATGACTCCATCTGGCAAAGTGGTCTAGAGGTCAGGCTACAAGACTTGATACAAAAAAAAAAACTGGGTACTTGTCCAATGCTACATCCCAAAGTCTATCCCATTTGCAGAAGTTGTACGTGCACAAACAGGATTTAAGAGAGATGCTCAAAATATGTGTATTGTATTGGATTTGAACTAAATGCAGTGATAGGAATTAAAGATGCATATATTTATCTATGCTGATAATGCTATTTGGTCAAGTTTTGATGGATACTTTCCAGTTTGTTCAGCCTAAGGTTGTAGATAAGATTCTTGGAGAAGTGAAGCCTACAGTTTAAAGGTTTTCCCATGACATTAAAGTCCAGTCATGTCTGATTCTAGGGGGTGGTGCTCATCTCCATTTCTTAGCCAGTGTTTGTCCGCAATTTCCGTGGTCAGGCAATTTCCAGCCTGACTAAACAGTGAAGTCCAAGGAACACTGTTTACCTTCCCAGCGAAGTGGTACCTTTGTATCTACTTGCATTTGCATGCTTTCAAACTGCAAGGTTGGCAGAAGCTGGGACGGAGCAACAAGAGCTCACCCCGTTGTGTGGATTCAAACTGTCGACCTTTCAATCAACCAGTCGAGCAGCTCAGCAGTTCAAACCACTGTGCCATCCACATCCCTAAGGTTGTACATAAGATTCT